GTTCTTGTCTTCGCATCACTCGGATGATGACTTGAGTCTGTTGGAAACGGAATTGGAAGCGGAGACTGTGGAACGCTCATATTCGATCTCTAGGGAGCCATCTTGGCCCTCCTCGTCATCGTCATCTTCGTCTTCGATCTCGCCATCTGAAATTTCTTCCAGCGAGCCATCCCCTGGTCCCAGCTTGTCGGCGACGTCTTCATCATCACCTACACCTCCACCATCATCACCTACACCTCCACCCTCGTCACCTACACCTTCCACGGCGTCGGCCACCACTGTACGGCAGCGCGATGGCATTACGATTGAGACGCTGAGAGATATGCTGACCTCACTGAGAGAGCAGACGACTGCACTTTGGGAGGGCCAGGTGTCAACAAACCATATGTTGGACGAGTTGCGCGAAACACGCTCAGGTCCCCTGGACACCACGGAGTTCAATGACCGGTTTCAGGCCATCGAGGTCCTTTTGCGTCAACTCATCGATAGACAGGTCGAGACTGAAAGACCAGTCCACATCCAGCCCCCATCAGAGTCTATTTCTGATGTCACCACAGATGTAGACGCAGAGGATTTTCAGCAGCGCTGGCAGGACTGGACGCGGCTCCTGAGGGACCGCGTGCCTCTTGCTGCACCCCAGCCACGCAGAGCTCGTGGAAATCTTGACGATGAGTTACTTGCATTATTGCAGGCACCCCCGCCTCAAGTGCCTATAGGCGTCCAGCCGCCTCCAGCATTGATCCCCTTCGCTTACCAACCTGCAGTACGTCCTCCAAGGTCAAGGAGTACCAGTCCCATACACCGACCTGCGACGTTCCCGATTGCCACAGAGCCAGTGCTGTTCTCGCCTGAACACCCACCTATACGCCGTCCTACTCGAGGTCATCGTGACGGTCGAAGACCGCGCCACCAAGCGGCAACTGAGACTGAGACTGCGTTTTCTGGTGCACCTGGGCCACGTACTCAGCAACACATTGGGCCAATAGCACCACCACCCGGAGATTTTTCCGATCCCGCACGTCCACGTCTGTCTACTAATCTTCCTCCTCCCGAACCTGTGAGTACTACTGTTGAGTGGATTCAACAAAATATCGACCTTTCGCTTAGATCAACTTGCAAGGAAGACCTCCAAGCGCGCCTGCTAACCTTGAACCCAATGACGATGCTCGCGAGCCTCAAACCTGGTACTACCCTAGACCAGAGGGCTTGGTACGTCATTTAACGGATTTGATTTCAAAATGTAACTTTCGTAATTCTGCAGGGTGTGCCTCCGCCTGTTATCCCTGGTCAACAAGGTGGTCGCCAATATGTGCCAATGCCTCCGGGACCAGTAAGTAAATCTTGTGGTAGGATTTCTGAGGTTCTTATTTCTCTCTCCTAGACCGTCGTGCAGTTGCCACTCTTTGACACATTGATGAACATCCTTCGGGCAGGTTACACTATTAATGTCCTGTCGAGATGCTGATTTCTTTGGGTTAGGAACATCGTCTCGCCCAACTTGCGACCGTGGATCAACAACGAGAATTGATGAGGTACATGAGAGGTCTGAATGAATGGCTTGAAAGGGATGTACAAGACCGTCAAGCGGAATTACGAGGGGTGACTGCTCGTGTTGATGAACTCAGAAATGATCTTGCACGACTAGGATTGGGGATACAGCCCGGTGTGCAACCACAAGGTGTGCACCCAGGTCATGGAGTGATCCCTGGAGGACCTATCCCCCCTCCACCTATTATTGATCTCGGACCTTCTGGATTCGTTCCTCGTCAGGGAGTCACAGGGCCTCCCGTTGTTCCCACCTATGAAGGTTCTCCTCAGCCACACGAATATACTCCTTTCATACCCGATGAACCTCCATGGGGCAGGCAGGGGCCGGGCATGCCAGAACCTCTTCATTACCCTCCAGATGCGCGAGGACCAGTAATCCCTGACACTTTCGATGATTATCGCCAACGACAACCTCGTGATCAGTACGAACACCGCCATGACGATGAAGATGAAGGAGTTATTCCCACGAGTCCTGGGTCTAGCGAACCTGTATTCGTGCCAGCACCTACGATCATCGTTGAACAAAGTGAGGATGAAGAGAGTGACGATAGCACGGCTACTCAACAGACCTATACTCTTCCCGACTCACGCCATGTACAGCACCCTCCAGAAAGTCCAATGTTACCCATGGCGCCAGGTTATCAACAAGATATCCCTGACGTTGTACATTCCGAGGAGCATACGCACAGCCATGGAAGCCCTCCGCCTCAGACTATCAATATCAATATGCCTTCACAATCGGCTCCAGTCCCCCAAGTAGATATGGCAGATCAGCCTGCGCCAATGCCACAATATGAATATGAACCGGCACCAATGCAACCCTTACCATATGGACCCGTTGGGATACCACCGCCACCCGTGATTGCAGGGCCTGATTCCGGACACGTGATAATCCACCCTCCCCAACAAATGTTCGAGCAGCCCAGGCCTGAGAGGTCCAGGTCCAGGTCCAGGTCCAGGTCCAGTTCCAGGAGAGGCGAAGTGGTTATACAACGAAGCCCTCCTCACCATTCGCCTGGCCCTGTCATATTATCAACGCCGGCTGGCGAACATGTCGCCAGACCTCCCACTCGCCAAGAATTTGTTGTTACTCCTTCGGGCGGCGGCCCTGGCGGGCCAGTTGTGGTCACGGTACCTGCTAGCCGGGGACACGTTTCGCGTTCACGATCTCGGTCTCGTTCACCTCGTCGACATTATCGCGACAGATATCCATACGACGATCCTCATTATCGACGAGGTCGACATCCTGACTCTCCTGATTATTATTACTCAAGACGTTGGGATGACCGTCGACGCCCATCCTACTCACCTGAATATCGCCACCGTCGTTATTATGATGACTACTCTCCCGAGGGTCGCCGTCGACGGAGAGGGCCGCGTGATGATTACTCGCGATCGCCATCACCACGACGAGGCGAGAGACATAGAGGTGATGACCGCCGCCGCCGCCACGGACACGTCGATTCAGCCTCTCCCACACGTTCAGAAGAAAGAGAACGACGCAGCAGAGACGATCACACCCCTCGTCGCGGACGGTCGATTGACGAAGACCATCCCCCCAGCAGACGTCCTAGTTATGACGAAGGCGATCCCTCGCGGACTCACAGAACCCCCACTCAACTTACAGAAGCGGATGCACCTGGTCATGGCCATCACACACCTAGTCATGTCCATCGCACACCTACTCCTGGCCATCGTACACCTACTCCTGGCCATCGTACACCTACTCATGGTCGTCATACACCTACCCATAGCATCCCTGATTCTCCACGGTTTGACGATCCTCCGCGGTCACCGACTGTCATCAGAATTGATCAGCCAGAGCAAACATACCCTGAACCACACCCCGGTCGACCAGTGATAATAACTCCGGCAGCACCTCGCCCGTTCTCATCAGGTGTGTGGGTTACTGTGGGCATGGACTCACTCTGACAAACCTTCCAGAACGACATCCGATGAGCCCCATTAGTCAATATGAACATGAACTGCGTCATGCCCCCGATGTTACATACATTCCAACCGTACATGTACCTTCCGTAAGGGACGACTATGTACCGCCGCGCCGTCGAACACCTTCAGTGATGGAACGTGACGAAGGATCACGCCATCGATCACCTTCTGCAAGGGATGATGACAGACGGTCACACCATCGATCACCTTCTGCAAGGGATGATGACAGACGGTCACACCATCGATCACCTTCTGCAAGAGATGATGACAGACGGTCACACCATCGATCACCTTCTGCAAGGGACGATGACAGACGGTCACACCATCGATCGCCCTCTGCAAGGTATGACGAACCTGACCCGTCTGGACGTCGCGATGATCCACGATTTCCGGACCACCCACATGTACATCGCGCTGCTTCGCAAGGTCCGCATGACGAACCTGACCCTCGTGAACAACGCGCCGCTTCGCGAGTTCCGGATGACCAAGATGAATCCCACAGAGGTCACGCTGCTTCGCAAGGTTTGGATCACCCCCACAGACGTCGCGATGCTTCGCAAGTTCCGGGTGACTTCCACGGACGTCACACTACTCCACAAGTTCTGCGTGACGAAGATGACCTCCATGGACATCATACTGTTTCAAGATTTCCAGATGACGAAGCTGGACATGGCGCCGTTTCACGGGGTCCATCACGCACAGAATCACACGTAGGAAGTATGCCAGCTACTATTCTGGAGGATGATGGCAGCCGACATCCGAGCGAGATGGTCCATGTCCCACCACCAACTGGCCATGTCCCGCCAAGTCACGATCCTCATGTGCACTTTGACCCAACTGGATTCGATGATGCCATTAATCAGCGGCATGAACGACTGGAAGAAGCAGAACGTGAACTCAACCAGGTCGTTCAGGACGCTCATACAGCTGAAAACCATCGTGAAGAAGAGTTCCGAAACAATGAAGAAGCAAGAGAGCATTTATTCCTCCAAAACGAAGATCGGCGTGAGGCTGAAGCAAGACAGCGCAGTGACAATTTATTCGCTCAACTAGAAGAGAGGGCGCACAGTGTACCTCCTCTACCAGTCCCTCCTCCTCCATCTGGATCTGATGATAATGCTTCCATCATTGAATCGATTCACGCAGCTTCTCATGAGGCGGCCTCTCGTCATGCTTCTGACATTTTGGAGACGGTTCGACTTGAGCGCGAGCAGTTTGCTCGCGAAAGAGAGTCTTTTGCATCTGAGAAGGATCAGGAACGTGCTGAATTTGCGGCCGAGCGTGCTCGCATGGATGAAGAGCGCGAACGAAGGGTTCAAGACCTGGAAGAGGAGCTCGCACGCGTTCGTGGGGAGCTTGATGGCGAAAGGCAGCTACGACAGACTGAAAATGAAGAACGAGCAGCTGCCAATGAACGTGACGAAGCCATGCGCGCGCAGTTGGGCGATATCACACAGTTGGTTTCGGAGCAACGCGATGAGTGTACCAGGAAGAGGGAGCTCATGGATCAGCGGTGGGAAGAAAAGCAGGGCAGGCGTGCCGAGAAAGATGCGCAATTCCATGAACTGAAGGATATGGTCTCCAGGCTCATTCAAGACCGCGAGGCGGATCGAATTCAAGAGGAAGAGCGCAGGCTACGGGAGGAGGGTAAGCCAGATATCCAAGTGGTGCTCGATGAACTCACCCGGCAAAATAACGAAATGCGAGAGGCGCTTCGGGCTCTTTCTGAGGGTGTGTCTTGGGTGTGTCTTTGAGTGGTGCTTCGCTGATTTTATTCCTTATGACAGACTGGCGCGCTGAAGGTGAGCGGCGGCATGAAGACACCCTTGAAGCTGTCCGTGCTACTGCCCGGGAGCAAGTTCCGTTCAATGTGCAAGTGGTGAGTGCCTGTGAACCATATATATATATTTCAAAAAATAAGTTCGTACGGGACCGTTTCTAGTATCTTGATGAATTTAGCAAAGCGCTCGCGACTGAGGTCCGGATGCTCCTTGGAGAAGTTGGCAAGCTTCGCGAAGAACGCCGTAATATCCAACAGTGAGTTCTTGCTTGAATACATCGTTCGTGTGTCTGAACATCCGTCTCTTTCAGTGAACTTGGATACCTGATGATGATGAAAGCTAAATACGGACCAGGAGGGGAGTTTGATCCTGAGTGGTAAGATGTCTTAACCATTAACTTGGGCCGTTCTCATCTTTTTTGATAGGAAACCGCCGATGCCTGGCCCTGGTGCGCCTGATCCACCGCCACCGCCCGAGGTACCTCCCCCGCCTCCTGATGAACACGGGCCTTCTCGTCCAGCATGGCGCACACTCCGCAACACGAGGCGCTCTCGCAAGCCACGTCCCGACCAGCCACCGCCCCCTGAACCTGGTCCTGCACCTATGAGGCAGCCTGTGCATTCCTGGGTTACTTGGCATCGTGAGTATTGAGTTTCATTGCATCATTTAAGAAGGTTAATTGACGCCATGGATACTAGCAAACCCTGCGCTGGCACCTACGCCGCCGTCGATTGAACCTAACCTGATTGTACCTGACCAAGGCAGTCCTGGTCTCTTCGGACCTCGCTCGCCACGCAGCTACCGGTGAAGACTCGTTACCTCATCACAAAATAGAGCCCAGGAACCATACTCTACGCATCGTATCTTATGACAGTCTTGATGACATCTAACGAGTATATTTTTCCCCTATCTTTATCTTGCTCTTCATCTATCCTCCCCGTATCTACTACTCACATCTGCTTTGATTTTTTGTCCATGCTCTGCTCTTGGTTGTGCTGTATATTTTATGATCTCATCGTATAGTTTCTCTGGAGCTGGACTCACGTTCTATCAAATTTGCAAATGGCAGCACACTTTTCACTGTCGAACTGCAAATCATGAGGTTCTGGCTGATGAGTCGTGGCTATGTGAAGGAACATGTAAGTATGAATGTAGTACTGGTGCTCAGTGAAAAATGCAAGTAATAAGTACTACATAGTAGTTGTCCACGATTGACTAGCAATCATCGGGCGAGCATGAGGTTTTAAAGCCCCTGCTGCTGAGGGTGCTCCTGGTAACAAGGACGGTGCGACCACAGGGGGCGTCACTGGGCTGCTTCTCGGGTCATGGCGCCCTCTAGCACCAACTTCAACTTAGCTGCAAGTCCCTCTGTAAGAAGAGTCGGGCCATCAGAAGTGCAAAGGCGATAAGATGGCATGGACTGGTACGTGTCGGGAAGAATCTTCCAAGGACCTGATGAGTAATACTGCGCAGAACGCATCAAAGCTCACTTTGCTATCCTTCACCAATACAGAGGCGATGATATCATCCGGGTCGCCTATTCTGCCTAGGGCTGGAAGGTTACGGCTGTCTACGACATTGTTCTTGGTTCTAACCGAACGTAAGCAAAGTGGGAGCGTCACATACCGTGTATATGCATCCAGCCTTGTTGTAATTGCAGTGCAGCGTTGATCCAAATATCGTCCACTTTTTCCTGTAACCCGGTTTGGATTGCCTTGTGCATAATTACGCGAAACTTGGCTATGCAAATAGTCAGTGGGTATGCGAATAATTTACTGTAAATAACATACGGTTCTCTACGAAATCATTTAACCCGGCTTCCGCGTCTGCTTCTCCTGCAGTCTCTGCGGGCAACCATCCCACGACAGAACACGAATCGGGAGTCGGTGGTGGTTGAGTGAGGAAGGAAACTGCATAGGCTGAGCCTACCATTGGAAGCGAAACGGGGTGGTAGAAGAGGTCGGGCCGAGATGGGTCCGATATTACTGAATTAGAGGTTGAGTAGCGCGCGAAGAGAGCATGCGTGCGACTGGTTGGAGATGCAACTCGGGAAGCCGCGTGCGCTGAGGGGGGACGGACGAATGTGAAAAGGCTAAAGGACCTCCTACACAGCAGCGAGCTGGATGGTTGTATCATGCACATAGTGAGCCGTGTCATCGCGTTATTTGATGCCCGTAGCATGTTAGGCAGCGTCTGCTGAGCCGCGAGGATATAAACACCAACGCGAAGCAGTCATGATCGGTCATCGCCGATTTTGAATTGCGTCACGTCATCCGCAACCAGACACGACGTAGCCGTGAGACTGTATTGAGTAAGCAGCTGTACAGTACCATCAAGCCCCACCATAGTACCCCCGGCTCCCAAGGTGTTCTCCTCAGACACTTCCATCATCAAACAGGTGTGTTACCATCTAGTTTCTATTGTTGCGTGTCGATCTGACCTTTGGGTATCACCAGGATGAGAGACAAGTGGAAGAAAAAGCGTTCCCGTAGGCTCAGACGCAAACGCAGAAAGATGAGAGCCCGTTCCAGTTCGTATTCATTACATATGTTTTCCGTCATCCTCTAACCAGACCGATTTAACAGAGTAAACGACTAAGCAGAGTGAGCCTGTGACGCTAAGGCCTCAACAAAATCTGCGGTGCGCTAACGCCGGGCAGGTCTTGCCCCGTCCCCCTCCGCGCGCTAAATATATTTGGAGTGGGATGGATTCTTCTCAGCTGGACATGCTGCTGGGGGTGCTGCTGGTCGTGATTTGTACTCTTGACAAATGAATCAAATATCGCTTTGTCCCATTCGTTTTGCATGCTCTTGTTGTACATTGTATTGTGGTCGCAGTCGAGCATGAATTTTGTGAACCGAAATAGCCCCGACTATAGTTGCTAAGTATACGCGACGCGTCTTGGGAAATTATATCTCCGAAGTCTCATCCGAAAGTTGAACGTTGAACAACGATCTACCAACTATCTCCTATCGTCACTAGCTACAGAGTATCCCTGCACCTTTGTCTTCATAAAGACCAAGAACCAATTCTCGATTTGACAATGAAACGTGCCAATACATCTACTTCTACTCCCAAGATCATTCTCAAACCGCGCCTCGCCCAAACGCCAGCTACGCCTTCTGTCGTTGATGAAGATGACGCCGACGACTCCGTTGAAGAAGGCGAACTCCAGACCAAGAGAGAAGATTCAGAGGGTGTGCTTGACGAAGACGAGCCTGGCGATGAGGAACCCGATGAAGGTGCTGTCGAGGGTGAAGGAGATGAAGGCGAAGGTAGCGGAGCGGAGGAGGTTGAGCCCGAAGGTGTGGAGCCACGACCGTTCCCTCGCCCACGGGGACGCCCGCGTGGAAGAGGGCGAGGTGCAGCCCCCACTGGTCCCGGTCGTGGGCGAGGACGCGGGAGAGGGAGGGGACGGGGACGAGGGCGGGGTCGTGGGTCTTTGACTATTCGACTGCCAAAGCGCGACGGCGAAGATGCTGACGACGCTGAAGCCGAGGAAGGGGAGCAAGATGGTCGACCATTCATGCGAGTGGGAGGAAAGGTATACTTTATTGACGGCGATGAGTTTGTCACAGACCCGGACGAGAAAGGTGACGAGAAGGTTGATGCTGATGGCAATCTTCTAGGAGGTGTGTACTACCTTTCTACCTGGTCAGTCTCTTAACCTTGTCAAAACCTGCGTCGTGGACAATTCAGGTCGCAAGTTCAAATGCCACACCTTCGTGCTACCCCAGCGGCACCCAAGTCGGCAGTATATGCTCGCCATTGATGCCGCGCGTGCGTCAGGGTTTCGTGATTCTCTATATTTCTTCCGGCGTAATCCGCTCGCGCTCAAGCTCTCCGCTACGCAGCCCGAAAAGGAGTTCCTCATCTCCGCAGGGAAGCTCGGTGCACACCTGAAAACGCGCAGCGTCACCCTCGTCACTGCACGCAGTGCATATAAACTCCATGGTGCCAAGATGATTCTGGGTACGCTCTTATTCTCATACAACGAAACCCATACTCAATTTGTTATCTTTGACTATAGATGGCCGCTGGGTCACAGACGACTACTACGAATCGAAATCTCTCGCCGAGATCACAGAAAAAGGACTTAAGCCAGGCGACCTGGTCGGCGAGCTTCCCGACCCATTGGGTGCCTCATCTCAAACCGCACCTTCAGGCCAGCAGCCCGCCACCTCTACATCATCAGGTATATATCGAGCGGGAGGACCTACAACCATTTTCGGGAGCACTGGTTGGGGACCGTTTAGTGATGGACCACACAGCGCAGTGCGCAAATCGATCTTAACACGGGAGGGGCTCACGGAAGAGAACTGGATGTCGGAGGCTGCAAGGCGTGTCGGAGATGCTGGTGAGGAATGGGCGCGGATGAGAAGGCAAGCAAGGGTTGCGTGTGGTGGGATCCTTGGGGATGGACTTGACAAGGGGAAGGGGAAGGAAGTGCAAGTGACTGAAGCAGAGGAGAAGCGAGGAGCGACTGAGGAGCTGGAGGGCGCGGAGAGGAAGAGAGCGAGAGTTGAAGAATCGCAATATCCTCTTGGCGTGTATGAGCCACACACAGGACTGGTCCATTGTTTGTATATCTCTCTTGCTGTTTTTCCCCATGTTTTTATTCTATTTTTTTCCAGATCGCGCAGACACGCAACCTACCCGCTGTCGCTGGGAACAAATTGGACAGCGGACAATGCTTCGGGGAACGAAGGCAGGGAATGGCGCTTGGGCGCTTGCATGGGTCGATACACATATCGAACTGCCCACGCCGGAAGAGGCAGATCCATATGCACGAACGAGAGCAGAGATTTTGGAGGCAGTGGGTGAGATGTGTTAGGAGAACAATGATTGATCGAATCTTGTCTCCATTGTTTGCAAAAGGTCATGCGGCGCCGCCTGATGCAGTTCAGCTATATCCAGGGGTTCGTATTTTACCAAGCTTGGATTGATTGTGTAACGAAGACAAGGTGGCTACGCCGATCTTTACTCAAGGCTTGAAAGCTTAGCCTAAGCTTGACTCAGATACTTGATACTATTGGGATTGTCTGATAGGGAATTTGTGAACCTCAAGTCTACCATCATGCATATGGCTCGTCCTAACAGAACTAATTCGTTGCCTCCAATTCACTCATGGCCAAGTAGTCTCTGGTTGCTAACTGGTGAGTCTCCCCAGGGTGTTTTACGTTAATTGCGGTGGTTATACATGACTTTATATTCTGATACAACGAAAGCCTTTTCGGCATATAGGACGATATTTGCGACTCAGTCCTCTGATGCGCCGCTTCGCCACTTTATACCAAGGATGGTAACCCTCGACTCGAACGAATCTAACGGTAGCCGGCACTGCCAACTACGCATGTGGGTGGCATGACTCATGTCAGGCTCAGGGACGAAAGACTCTGTTGTGCCGTGCCTGGACTCTGTTGGTACCTACTTATTTTGGCAAATTCAGTCGTTATCCTTTTCGAACATGGTATGTACGTACTTATTGACGAAATTCTCGCAATGCTAACACAACCATGACCCGATGTCTCAACAAGTGCTTGCAAAAATTCCATGTCGTTGTCTTCTTCGACGGCATCGGTACATCAATCAAGGAAAGTTGAGTAGGTCAGATTTACGGTGCTGAATTGAACATATTCTTTCCCCTACTAGTACTAGCACTAGGTGCACACTCACGCTCGTCCGTCTTATGACCATGCTGACCTCGGTTTCAAACCGCTTTCATAACGATGGTAACAATTTCTGGATGTTGCCGTACCTCAACGAAAATAAGTACAACATCCAAGCCTGCATCGCCTTTAAATGGAGTGAGCACCGTGACCTTCAAGTTAGTATTGATTATTATTATTTTACCTCATGTCAATGATAGACGCTGAGAATGTTCTTTATAATAAGTGGCGACCCTTTTCATTGTTCCAGCCCTTCCTGCGTGCCCTTCGCCCAATATCATCCGTCTGGTGGTGAGTTTCCCCTTTGACTGCACGATTCTAAGTCAACGGTTTGGAATTAACCATACGACAAGGCGAACAATGCGACTACTACATACCAAGAACCTAAAGTTAGAAACACCCACGAGTGTGCGACCTTATGCCATCTTATCTCACCGATGGCTCGCAGACCGCGAAGAAGTCTCTTTCCAAGACTTGCAACACACGCAAGTTTCTCCTAGCGAAGGCTCTGATCATGCCGTATGTCATTTCGTTCGAGCTTCTGTTTGCTGACATTTACCATCAATTCACTTCAAGGAGCCCATTTTCCCTTCCAACATTCAAAGCAAACAAGGCTTCGCAAAATTCCAAAGAGCGTGCGAGCATGCCTTCCAAGCTCATCTCAAGTATATCTGGATTGACACTTGCTGCATTGACAAAAGCAGCAGTGCCGAGTTATCAGAAGCGATCAATTCCATGTATGCATGGTATAGGGACTCCGCTGTGTGCTACGTTTACTTGCACGATGTCGGTAACGATGAGGACCCCCAATTCGGTTTCGAAAACGCTCAGTGGTTCAAAAGAGGATGGACCTTACAAGAGCTACTCGCTCCAGATCATGTCTATTTCTTCAACAAGGACTGGATTATAATCGGGAGCAAGGCAACATTTGCGTCTACCCTGTATCAAATCACCCACATCCACCAAGATATTCTGCTGGGTAACCGTCACCAGCGCGAATCCAGTATCGCGGAGAAGATGTCATGGGCTGCAGGACGAAAGACGCAGAGAATAGAAGACAGAGCTTATTCTCTGATGGGGTTATTTGGCATCCACATGCCCATCATTTATGGAGAAGGAGACAAAGCTTTCAAGCGCCTGCAGCTCGAGATCATGAAATCATCGGATGATCAAACCATCTTTGCCTGGCAGGATTCAATACATTCGCATTCTGCCAGAGATCGCGGATTGTTAGCGTCTACACCTGACGTTTTCATGGGGGCTTCTGCGGTCGTCGCCATCGATTATTCCCATTTTATCAACATCCTTTCGAAAAGTCGCATCCCCGTTGACGGACTATCGCGTGATTATTCCATTTCGAATGATGGCATTCAAATCACTCTTCCTATGAAGGAAGCCTCAGAGGGGTGGCTTGCCGTCCTGAGATGCAAGGGGGAAGATCAGGAGTTTCCGTACGGGATCTACTTGAAAAAAATATCTGGTTCCGACGATTTTCTTCGAACTTCGCCCACAATGCTTGAACAACTTGAGCGCAAAGATCTCCAACACCTTACCCTGCGTAAAATACGTATTTTGGTCGACCATCACACACTACCAACTACTAAACGCCGACAATTCTTCACTTTTCGGTCTACAGATTCCGTTTGGAAGCGCTGCGGTTACTATGTATGCCCTAAGCCGGGAGGCCATGATGTGGGTCAGGGGGGTGGCTACAAAGTTCTTGATCCCAAGACTCGGATTGAGCTTTCAAATAATATGCAGTGTGGCTGCATTTACTCCCAGGGCCCGCGTGGCGAAGTAACGGTCCTTCTCATTGGAATCGAACATCACCGTCCTTGGGTACACCTCCTCGCAGATGCTGACCTATACCGATACGTCGACACTTCGCCGATTCGCCGTCAAACCCTCCATAACGCCTCTTTGGTATCTTCCCCTACTTCCTCCCAATCTAGCAGCCAAGCTGATCTCATTTCTCCTCCTGCGCCACCTTCCCCTACCTCCCCCTAATCTAATCCTAATTTGCCTCATGTGCCGTCTTCTCGTTCATCGTCTCTCTTCTCTGCTTCCGCCGGAACCTACAATCCCAGACTTCCAAAGAGGAACTTCACAACCTCTTATGCTGCGCAGCCGCGCGGAGGTGGCACTGGGTGTCCTGTGTGTTCTATCATTCAAGCCTACTCCATCGATATAGATGTCATCAGGAATAGCAGGGTTGATTTCGTGAATGAAACGATGCCAGACAAGGTGATTAAGATCGATATCCGAAAGGGACAAGTTTGCGTCTCTGAGGCCACGCTTGGTGTTGACTATGTTATAACCATAGCTGTATCAGAAGTTTAATTTGTGCCGAAATTTACCTAGAGTACAAGTAATACATATACTAATACCTCCGGGTATCAGTGCACTAAATTCCAGTACTTACACTAACGAGATTTGCACGGTATTGACATAGCCCATGTGCCTCGATTATAAAGGATTCCGTTATTTAAACAGCAAGAATGGTTCCTGTGGGCAAGTATCATTGGTTGGGCCTAAAAACAAACCATAGCCTTGACAAAGGACTGACCCCAGGACCCTTAATATCATGTGGCTCTTCTTCAACGTCGAAGACTTGTGTAGGTCCTGAGGAAGTGTTGCGCTGACTTGCAAACCCCACTAGTTCGGCTTATGAGCCTTGGCGCTTGGATATTTGGAGGCCCCCGAGGCTGAAGTTCCGTGTACCTAGTACCCCATCTCAAACCAGTGTCAAGTGTCTATATATATGATGGTCGCTCAGGGTCCTGCTAGTCATACAAGAAACACTTAAAACAAGAAGACTGGCCGTTTCCCTTCCTACAAGAATATCATGCCCCTTGAATCGCTTCCCAGTTTCTTCACCGGTGTCTCTGATTCCTCATGGTCGCATTTTGACCTCAATATCGCGTCCGGAGTGGCCATTTTTTTCGGAGGCCAAGCAGCGGTATCTGTGTTTGCATTGCGACCGCTGTATGGTCGTATATGGCATGGATGGTACAACGCACCTGGATGCCATGCAATTGTGTGGGCGCTGGTTAGAACATTGTTGCAGGGTTCCTCCTCATCGTATTCAGAGAGACTCGCGCTTTCTCTTGGTCTAGATGGCAAGGAAGGACCACAATACATTGCATCGCGGTCAGGAACGGTCATGCCGCATACTCGCCATCTTGCCTACGTGCTTAACAAAAGCAACTGGGAAGGCAAGGAGTGCAAGCCAGTGCCCGTGGGTCAGAGGAACAGCCCGACGCCGATGCAATTGATAATCGTGGACTTCAAGAAGAAGGTGCTGACGGAAAACGACACGCTACCCCCAAGAAGTTCTCGTCACTCTTCATTGTCCATGATCGCCAGCGCCACTAGCATCGCAGCTTGCGCCATTTGTGCCAGTGTTGAGGACTGGTTATCCTTCAAGATGATTCTGCTTGGGATAATCTCCTCTGGGATCACTTCTTTCATCATGTCCATTGGGCATATAACCCTTGAACGACTCAAACCAGCCCATGGAGCTCCACGTGGAGACGGGATGCTACTATCGGATAGTCGTATTGTAATATTGAGGGGCAATGAGGAGGACGTTAATGCTGTGACCAAGGGAAAACTGCGATTGGAGCTCAAGGGAGGGGGTTACACTGTCCTTCTCTGCGCATTCATAGCGTTGTTGCAAGTTACCCTACAGGTCGTCTTCATGCCTTTCGGATCGCTACCAGGACAACTCATGTTCCTGTTATCACTCCTAGTGTCTGGGGTATGCAACCTATATCTATCAACAAACGAAGATGATGTGAAATCAAGTGCCCTCATCGCCCTATTGAATACTCCAGAGGTGAAAACGTACCAAGCCCATTCTAGGGCAGCCGCTGCCACTCTGGCGAGCTTAGCGCTCTGTTGGGAGTCTAGCACACCACCTAGGCAAGTCCTCCGGGCGATTATCCCCATCAGACAAAGAGCGTGGAAGGCCTGGTCTGAGTTTATCGTGGAGAATATCAGGGAGAAGAGGACGCATTATGTGTGGGGGGAGAACAAGTCAACAAAACGTCTGGATGAAGAAGAATCGAAGCTTTTACACGCGCTCATTGATGACGCTCATGCAGCGCACGACCAGTATATTAAGGATCACAATATTACATAGCTATACCGGTATCGATATCTGTATCATGTACATAATGCTTGAGTCTACGCAGTGCAAATCTTATTAGTTTACAAGCAATATGCAAAATTTCTCGTTCAGACCTTCGAATGCATGCATTGCTCGTGAGTTTCTTCCGCCGGGAGCTTGTCGGTCTGATGGTTGTGCATGTTCGAAAAATAAACACAAGTGTGAAATTTTAATGATTCGTTCACTCGATGCTGCAAGTCGTCGTGCCAGCCTGACGAAATGTGTAAAGAGCCATCGCGGAGTCCTCAGTCTGTCATGATACCAGCGTGCAGCACGCCAGAGTTCCTTCACTGCTGATGATCTCGTCAGATTTCAGACATAAGAGTGAGTCGATCAGCACGTCCTTTCATCTCTGTACGTGCGAGGTTGTAGCCACTGAATTACTTGCACTTCAAACGAAAGACTGCAGCTGCCATGAGAACTTCAAGTTTGAAGGCAATCACCCCGGCGCTGACGGTGATGCCATCTCAAAACAGAAGCACCTACTTGACATCTACATGAATTTTCAAAGGGTGCAACTGTGTCTCTGATGAAATCAGGTTTCGGTACGCGCTCTCACGAATCAGCAGCAACATCTGAGTGTCTTTCTTTGGTATCCAACCCTTTCACTTCGCATTTCTTCTAGTCTTGCGATAATCGCATCGGAGATGTTCCAAGGAGGACGGGCCCGTTGTCGCGCTGGTATGGCCGTGAAATGCAGGAGTACAAAACTCGTGCTGTTTGTTATGGTTGCACTTGCAATACACGATACGTTTGAGCTTACATTGTAGGGAAAGATGAGTAAACATGAGCAATATCTGCCATGCTGCCACGTCGATACGAATCCCCACCGAAATGAAAAGCCCAAATCTAGGCGTTCTATGCGCAGTGTGGATTGCAATAGGGTACCAATGTCGGATGGAGCGCAGATATGACACGACACTAGCACTTTTCGGCGCAACTAGCAAAAGATGATATGTCCCAGGCTTGCGCGACGGCTATAGTACACGAATCTTCCTCACTCCTGTACACCTCTTCTCATCTTTCTTTTGGGGTATGAAGATTTGAATATGTCAGGTCGTTCGTGTCGAGCTTTGGAGGATAGTGTTATTATTTATTCTCTCTCCCTCTTTTTTTTTTTTGAGAAAAACAAGACGAGCCGCGCAGCGGCAAGCACTTGTATTTTAATAGTGATATACGAAAATTGCCCGTTCTTAATTTGACGTTCCCGTTGTGACTTCATACAGACCGTCCCCAGGACGCCATCCGAGCACCTCACTCCAGAACTCCAAGATTGGCTGCCATTCCTCCCTTAAGCTTGCGCGTGGCATACCCTCACCCGCACGCTCCACATCCTTTACTCGAGAGAAACCCTTCCTGAATGCAACTAGCGCCTCATCCTTGAGCTCACGTGGGCGGCGAAACACAAGAACGGGCGTCTCGCATGGTTTCGAGAGCGTTGGGTATGAGAGCAGCGGGCCAGAAATGGTGACGAGCGAACCAAAGGGCCGCACGGGGGTCTCTTTGTTGGTCATGCGCGACTGTGATGAAAGTTCTAGCTCGCGACGCCACCACTGCAGACATGCTTCGGCTGCAACACTTCCGCCTTGTGCGAATCCGAACAAGTGGATGCGATGTGGAGGCCATCCACATTCACCCATTAGATGGCCGAAGATATGCTTCAGAAGATTGAGTGCAGGGCTGGGGTCTGGTCGTTCGATGAGGTCACCGAGCTGGTCGAAGGAAGGATACCACTGAAAAGCCTGTTCGTACAGGAAGGGGACACTAGTATATTGTCAAGCTCGATAAACATACAATCGGAATGATCGAACAGAAACATACAGATCAGGCGCGCGGAGCGCGAGGGTGGCTGTTTGTGGGAGCTTGAGCGATCTCCCAAGGCGCGCAAAGGGGACATTGGTGTCACCTGTTCATCGATGACTCGGTTCGGATTAGTTGCCCTAGCTAAGTGGTCCGACGCCACGCTCACCAAGCCCGTGCAGGAGAATAAGGAGGTTCTCGTCCGTTCCGTCGTCACTAGGGGAGTAAGAGAATTGCGTGGGGATGGCAGAGGCCTGTGGAGCAGGTTTTACGCGCAGAGAAGTGACGGATGCCTCTGCGAGGACGTGGATGTCTGAGGAATTCATTCAAGAAGAGTTTCTTCTGGCTGTCACTCTGAACCACCACTAGTACTGTCACTAATTATCTTATCTGATCATGACACGTGCTAATCTACTGCATGAGGGTGCCTCCGGTCCATCAGATGAAAACAAGTTCCTCGTTATTACTGTGGGAGCCTACATGAATAATATGGCTACGATGTATTTAGAACGACACCATCACCGGTTTTTGTGGCTCTTCCCATTTGAATTTGAATGGACCACTTAGCGGCGAGCCGTTGCATTCACTTGTGAAGGTTCCACAGAGGCAAATTAGATCCAGTAGTCAGCAATTCATATACATATCAACATACTTTTCAGATGCAAGTGCAGCCTCAGGAGACAAAATCGTAGGGTAGTGCTGCTTTAACATTCTTTCGTGGAGTTTGGTCAGGATGTCAGCCCCATGCGGGAGGCCAGCGCTAGCAATCCTTTGAATAAGCATCGGAAAGTCCTTCATGACAGTGGGAGTAACAATGTTCTGGAATAAGATCTCGATTTCCATCTCAAGAATGGCAGGAAACCTTCAAAAGACATGTTGACATCCCGATGGTAGCGCACGTGCATGACTGACTAACCTGGATGTTAGAGACGAAGAGAGTTCCCGTAGGACGTTGTGCTCCGTTAGACTAGAGCGTATCGCAGCAAGCGCTTTTGCCTGCAATTTATCGTGTTTTATCTAGTACAATCCCCAGTATGAGTCCACATAGAGAATATCAAAGGTTACACGAGACACACCTTACATGCTAGGCGATACATAGACTTCGGTGAGCATGGTGGGGCCCCGCTGAGGCTGTGATGTCTTGCTGACTTGCTTTGCGATCGCAAAGGTGCGAAAACAATCTCGTCAGTATACAGATAGTCTAATAAAGCCCGCCAGCTATGCAAAATTAATGAGTAACATAACCTAGTGCGAGGCTAGTGAACCGCACGTATTGAATGCCGTATCCATTACCAATACTCTACGGCTTGGAATGATACGTTGCGCCCCTTTGGTAGTAAAGTCCTTGATTGATGCGGTTCGAGATACTCGTTCCGCAGAGACTCCCGCACACCTTTCATCTTCAAAATATCAAGTTAAGGTGGGTATACTGTGCCAGGATGGGTGGAGCCACTCACTGTCTTGTACATCTTCGTCAGTCTCTTCCTCCTCTTCATCGAGGTCACTATCGGATGCATAGCCATATTCATCGAGAGAGATCCCTCCCTCACAAGTGTGATAGTCTTGAAATTCGACCACAGTAGAATCATTGAACGGATTTTCGGAAAGTACTGGAAGTGTCTCCTGAACTTTACTGAGTTGGTAACAGAATTCTGAAACGGCTTACAGCTACTGAAGTACTCTGAACCGGTGGTGAGGGCTTCGTCATCGGCAAACAATGCTTGAAGGTTGGTAACGTTGCCCTCGCGCTTCGATCGAACGGAGAATAGGTAAAATTGGGTGTCAATAAGTTCCCCGATAAGCGACTTCCTCAGCAGAGCATTAATCCTCGCCTGGTTGCCCGGCATTGTAGAGGAACAGTACAAGCTCGAAGGGAAATGGTCACCTGGAGATAGAATTCTCAAGAGAGTTCGATAATATTGAGGATGCCGTATTTAGGTGTCCAGGGTGATGCTTGGGATGAACAGATGAACCGAACAACTGTCGGACCGAGAGTGTCGTGTTATATACAAATGATGAAGGACAAAGGGGAAGGACTGAGAAACGAATGGAACTTCTGTGCGTACATAGGAAGACAAAGGACAGTGATCGATGCACGAAGACAAGTTCTGCATTTGGGCGTTGAAATCTAAATTAAGAATTTCCGACGGGACGTTCGACAAAACTAGACCTCCTCTGCTGCACGAGACATCAAGTCCTATGATCACTATGGCACCTCGTGGTATAGCTGTTATCACTGATTGTGTCAATATGAACACATGGTGTTTGACTATACTTATATCCTTTCAACGATATAAGTACAAGTGATCTATCCCCACAATCAGCAGAACCACGCTTGTAATCAAGATGGCCACACCTGTCGACTATGGCAATTTGGAGTTTACTAGACCCGCCAAGCAGATCAAGGCCGTCAACTTACCAGCGGTACCCCAGCGCATTTTCGATGGTATGAAGCAGTATGAAGATGCTGCTCGAGGTGTGTGGTCGTTAAATTCTTGAAAGTGCACTGTGATATATCTGGTTCGCAAGGCTTTAGTACCTCAGGCTTTGAGCGGACAACCAAGGATGCCAATGGCAAAGAAGTTCCAGGAGGCATCATTGTTGCCCACAGACCTGCAGACGCCCAAGTCACTCAGTTGTATCGCATGCCAACAGATCCTTCCAGTACCGACTCGGAGCTGAGCCGGCTCACGTACTTTGATATTGGTTCTGGCAGGACAATATCGGCGTTCCACGGAATTCTGGAGGATGACTGGCGGGGTGTACGCAGGCGTGGAGGAGCCATCACGGTTATGGATCTCAACGGAAATGAACATTTTCAGCTATGGCACGTAGCCACGTACAGCTTAAGATCCTGTCTGACCAAAATCACAGGCGTTACTGGGAGGATTCTCTTGCTGACCGAGTTCTTCCGAAAGTACAAGGAGAACTGGATAACGCGCCTGGCCTGGGACGCATCGAGAGACTGACTCACGATGACTATAGATACGGCTCAATTGTTATATCTCAGGCAAATAAGTATGTCTGTCTTCGTTCATTCAGTTTATATCTGATCGAATCTCGCGGGACAGCTTTATGGCCTTTGCGTCTAACAAGGAGAACAACAAGGACACCCTAGTATATGTTACCAGGCTCATAGACTCCAATACGGGCGCAAAGGCAGACGTCTCTCCCTTCACTCTGCCCTCACGTTTAGTCGCACCAAGCACTGGGGAAGGGACGACCATGTACAGCCCGCGGAGCTTTTCCCTTGACGACAAGTACCTGTTGATCACAAGACAATATGGCTCGAGTTACAATGCCCTTTATGTTGTCGACATCTCTGGAGAACAGGCATCACCTCCCAAGCTAATCGAGTTCCCAGGAGCGACAGAGAAACCAGAAGATACTGCGTTCGGCGGTGTTGCATTCTCCCACAACGTTAATCTACCCCACTTGATCTACTGCACCACAAATGGCTATGGTGATTTTACCTCGGTCGTCGCTTACGATCTTGACACAGCATCGGTCACCCACATCACTACTTCCGGTGCCGCAATTCAAGCCATACGACCAATTTTATGGGAAATTGAGGACCTCAAGGTTACTAGCGACAATATTGTATTTACCGTCAATGTCGAGGGATGGACCTCCCTCTTTTTCATGCCTCTATCTGGGTCTTACAAGAACACGGTGATCGAGGTCAAGGTTACCTGGGAAAGGGGTTGGCTCACCTTCCAAACGAATGATCTCAATGACAAGCCGTACGAATTAACGCTGCATCTCACATCATACCACTCCAGAGGGCGTATCACCTACTTGGATCTTCTACCATTGTTGAACGATGTCAAGAAAGATGAAAATGGTAACGCCTACGTGGTCGCTTCTGTCTTACCATATGCACAGGCAGCGCCACCTACGGTGGCACATGAAGTTCCGCCTACGCTCATCAGATATAAGAGCTTCGATAACTTGGAAGTCCCTGCCATCTATTACCACCCGGTTGGTCAATCTGTGACTCCGGTCATCATCCACATTCATGGTGGCCCGGAATCTCAGGCTACTGCCAATTACCGCACGTTAGTCATGATTTTTACTTATCGCAAATCGTAGGCTGACAGACTTCCACAGACCTACGCATAGTTACCTGTTGAATGAGCTGAAAATTGCGGTTATCTACCCCAATGTGCGCGGAAGTTCAGGATATGGCAAGAAGTACATGGCCGCGGATGATGTGTTGAAACGCGAAGATTCTGTCAAGTACAGTACATATACACCTTGTCGGTGACAGACGACTAATGTTTGCTCAGGGATATTGGAGCGTTACTTGAACACATCGCATCCAACATGCAAAATGAATTGGATTCATCCCGCATTGCTGTAGCAGGCGGATCCTGTGAGTAGCCTTCTCGTGATCCCTACCAAAAAAATTAACCCTCACCGTTTGAAGATGGTGGATATATGTCCTTGGTGCGATATATCTATCTTCTCAACATGCACCTCGTTCTCACGTCCAGGCACTGCATATAGGCGACTCTGACACATTACTCCTCAAAGCTTGTCTGTGGCATTGAAAACTTTGGAATCGTGCACTGGCCTTCGTTCCTGGAGAATACTGCGGATGTCCGGCGAGCAGCACGCAGACGCGAGTATGGCGATGAGACCATCCCTGAAATCAGAGAGTTCTTGGACAGAATCTCGCCGATCAACAACACTTCAAAGATCACGGTACCCCTCCTGATCACCCATGGCGAGAATGATAGTCGAGTGACTGTACACGAAGCTGTTAGCATGTACAAAACTGTGTCGAAGAATGTGCATACCGAGCTCGTCATCTGCGAGATGGAGGGGCATGGTATGTCTTTTCGTATATGTCGTGTGACGATACTGATAGGTGATGATCTTTTGTAGGATACAAACAGAAGAGTGTGATCGAGTTTACTAATGCTGCTGATATCTTATTCTTGGAAAGATACCTCCTTGCTCAGTCAAATTTGTAACTCTCGAATACTTGCATGTTCTATTTTCTAACATACCAATAAGGAAGGTATCATTAGTTGTGCGAACAAGACTTGAGAATGACTTCGTGGATGACGAAACTGAGGAGTTGTACGAACCAATGTCTTTACAGCCTCGACCAGGTTTGCGACCAAAAATACTGGGCGAGCAGTCTAGGACTGATTGCGACCGTGAAGACCGAGAAGTAGGCGAGCTACATTATACCCCTGAGAGAGCGCTTGAATTCAACCCTTCCAGCGACGAAACGTGATGCAGGCTACTAGTGGAAGGAGGGAAAGGTCGAGAGTACCGTCGAGACTCATGTTGATTTTTGGGATGGTTCTAGCGATGACTTACTTGATTCCCGCAGATAACATTGAACCGTCCGAAAATTGCAAAAAGTGGCGTCCACGAGGCGCGCCCGTTTGTAATAATGTACTATGGGGACAGATGAAGAGTGCGAGTGTAAATATCTAGTTCTTCCGGCGGAATGAGCAACCTGCAAAAGTTTAATGCATTACAAAACATCGTAATCGGATAACATACCCTCGGTCAGTCTTGCCTTACCACCCGTAGGTTGGCACAAGACACTTGCACATGAGCCACAAAGAACTACTGATTGCGCATGAGAGAATACAGTGGTAATAGCAAAGCACCCTAGAAAATAACCGAGTGAGATTAGTGGTGTCGGGCCTGGCGCGATGGGTCGCACCTGGGCATTTTACGTCCATGAAATAAGAGTTGGGGGATTGTACAAGACGCTTGAGTTTGTGCTGTTTGCGTTCATATTCTGCAGAGGGGTTCAATAGATCGACGGCAAGAGTCTAAACAAAGTTTTGTGAGGATTTCGGACAAGTGGAACAGACGTGCGGCGTACCATTTTGATGAGCTTTTGGTGTTTTCGTTTGTCAAAGTTGTTGAATAGCTCGAGCAATACGCTGGCCAAAATGATGATGATATGCCCAGTAGGGACTTAAGGTTTGAGCGGAGATTGAACAAGCCTTCGGGATTACCCGCACTAAACGAACGATCCGGCTTCCACTCTAGCATCGATATTCTTCCGTACCCGAGCTCGAACAAGGACCAAGGGGACGATGCGATGATATTCCAGATAAAACAATAACACTCAGGCTATGCATCGGGATTTCAAGACGTAAACCTATCTTGTGCATCTTCTTGTGTCATTAGAACGAGCTCACATGTTCTTTTTGTTCTTGCTTCGTGGCCGTTTATGGACGATGCTCTGCTGGCAGCGTGGCCTTTAATTTTAAGCTCGCACCTGGAACGCATATAAAGGTTAGTGGACAAGTAGCCTCCCATATGTACTATCCTTCCGGGTTTTGACAACCCAATTAATAACAGCTAGGTTCGTTAAGTATCTGTTGACTTCCGTTTCTTCTTCCACTAACCTGCTTCATGTCCCCCTTCTTCGTCTAGTCTGTTAAGTGAGCCAGCCCCCTTTCTTTCTGAGAGTCTCGTTTGACATTAATATCAATTCAGACGTTTCGGTTCTCTGCTCACATTCAATCTCGTTGTCTGAATAGTACTACTGAGACTATCATATTCTCACGTTTCCTTCCAGCGTGCATCACCTGCATTTATCATCGCAGGACGATTTCTGTTATTACCACTTAATCGATCTTTCCAATCGCTTCTCCGTCATTGACTGTTATTATGACCACCACATCGAGCCTTTCCATCACTCTTGCTCAAGCTATCGCTTATCTCATTCGACCTCTTACCGTTACGCACCCTACTACGACCACCAACAAGCTTCAGTCTGCGCTTGAGGCGAACTTGACTGCACTGTTCGCCCCGACATGGACTCCCAATGAACCACTTCGTGGTTCCAGCCAGCGTTGCCTCACTCTCTCCCCTAATTGCCTCCCTCCACGTGCCATATATACCGCATGCCTTGCATCCAATGTTCAGTGGTTCGACTGGATTGCATCCTTGGGCGGACGTGAGTTCGACTTTCGTGTCGATCCAGGATGCATCTCTGTGCAGTTCGAGAAGGGTACCAAGCTCATTACGATCTGGTCGGAGGGACCGATCGCTAAGGCTGTGTCCGTCGCGCATCATACGCCTTTTAGCCAGCTGCCACCCAACAACTCAAGGTCTAAGACACTTGCCCAGCAGCTCTGGGAATATGATCGCACAGAGGATGAAGAACTTTTCGCATTGCTTGCTGACGAAATCAGTGCACCCACTTGGATGATCCCTATCGTTGACCGTTTCCCTACTCCTGCACGTTCTAAATCGCCCCTCTCTACTATATCTACCGATCTGTGCTCCAGCCATTGCTCGTCTGACTCCTGTTTCTCTATCATGGCTGCCTCCACCTCGTCGCCTAAGAAGAGCAACAAGCAGCTATCCCAACTTACCCGCCACGAGAAGACAAGGCAGCTTCGTGTCTTTGTAGACACCTCCAAGACTGAAGTTACCCCCTACGATGGTGGCAAGACCACTGTCCTCACCGGCGGTGTGATGCTGGGAGCTGCACCTCCCAAGGGCAAGAGCGGCCCTTCTATTTCTGCTCGGCGCCACGCATAAACAGCTATGCTTCCCTTTATCACCCGGCCCACGAACTTCCCCACGGGATGATTTTCCTATACGCCTATTTACGCTCCGCACACTTCACGAAAGACAATCCCAGTACCATACGATGCCATTTAACATCTACTATACCATTGTACTGCATCTATTACTTTGTTTTCGTAACCTTGATTTAACACAGGGTGTAGCCTTTTAATTTTCAGATCATTTTTCCGACTTGAACATGACTGACTTCATCATGGCACTTTCATTCACTATCGATTTGCTGTGTTCGTCGTCTTCGAGAAACCTGACCACGAACATGTGTCATGCATACCGAATAGCCCGTACTAGTACGCAAGTGGTTTTCCCCCTTCTATTAGGACTGCATACGATGCTATAAGTACATGGGAACGTCATCAGGATCCTCAAAGATCCATGCATCATATTCATTTCAGCTGTATAATAGCGCGTTTCAAACTCTAGCTACATATATGAGCCTCAGCTAGACGCATTGTAAATGTCTCGAGGCGGACAGTTCCCGGATCCCGGCCCTGGTGCGCCTCCGACATTTTTAGCGTAAAGGATTTGTTTTGGTGATTATCATAACCAACTGCAAATCATATTTGCGCCAACACCATGGCAAGACCTCATGAAGAACTATACGAGTTGTGCGATTGCCTCCGCTCTGTTAGCGTTGAGCTTGATTCATACGAGCCTGAATCCCAACACTCGCCGATCATCGACTCATCAGGAGAAGAAATGGGTGAAGTAAAGACTCAGACCCGAGAAGTATTACCCGGGTTGCGGTTTCTACGAGAAGAGGTGAAGCGAGACCTGCAAGTTTTCCAGAAGGTGTGTCCAGGGATGTTTCTGTTCATTCGATGATTCTAATCGACTCGGATGTGCAGTAGTTTCTTGATGACCCAGAATCGACATCTCTTCCTCCTCTCTCTACCAATGCACCATATCTCGTTGCAGTGTGGCGGGAACTACTTCAAGCTCGTGGAGCTGTTGCTATATACCGGACATTCCATACCGATGCTCATCCTCAGGCCTCCCGTAAGCCCAAGAATGGCTCAGCCAAAGGGCATAGCGTTAAGGTCGATGTGGTCGCTGATAATGGGAGACGTTGGATCAGAGTCAATACGTGAGTTCATCCAACATTCACCTAGAATAACTCTGGACAAATTTCCAGGATAAAGAACAGTCGCATTTTAATGGAGTTTCGCGAAATAGACTCGTATCTTACCAGCTCTGACGAGGACGACGGCGATGGGCACTCTTCTCTGAAGAAGGAAAATCTGATACCCCAAGAGTTTGACAATTCCGTGCTGCGCATGGGTCGTGAACTTCTGGAGGCTGCAAGGGCAAATCCTCATGGTTCCAACGAAATTCCTTCGGTTACCATGCGTCTGACCCGACTGAATCCTTCACTCTCCGACGAACCCAGAATCGCATACACAATCGACTGTCTCCAGAGAATGGGCATAGATGTCCAATTAGGTGAAAGGCAGGGCATCGTAAAGGAGATGGACGACATTTCTGCGCGACCAACAGTTTTGGAGCCCACCACTCATATCAACCTTGATCTCTCAGCGTTGATAGCGCTCATCTCTGACACCACTCACTCTCATCTGCCTCGTGATCCAGAAGATGCCAACACACGATTCATCCCGCCGCAACGATACGTGGAATGGAAAAAGCAGCGAGTACAAATGCTTTCCAATTCTCCAGATGCAACAAGTACATGGGAGGACTCCGGAATCCACTCAAGAGTGTTGGCAGAGCAAGCCCAACAAGAGATGAAGAAGGGCCTCTTGCAAGATATGCACGACCGCTTGAGATCCATATCCCCTACTCTGCAAAATATCCAATTTTGGACGACACAAGAGGCTCGACAACGTTGTCTCCAGATCGTATTCAAGATTGCGGGCACAAGAGAACGTCAGCGCGCCGAAGTACTGCTCTCTTGTTCCACGTGTTCTGAAACGACTACCATACCCACCCATAATCAATTCTGGGTGCATTCACGATACCCGTCTAACTTCATTCCATTGATACCTATCAGGTTGTACCCATCTTCAGAGCCTGATACTACTTCTCTCGAGTCCTTTCAGCCAAATCCTTCGTCACCTTTCCTGACATCCCTTGCATTGACCTGTCGGAATATACTATCCCAAGAAGACATGTCAAGACTTCGGGAATCACAGAGTCCACCTGGCCACTCAGCTGCACCTTACTTGAGCAACGACGAGGGTGACATCCCACCGGCAGCAGTTACTTTAGCAAACCCAAAGCTCACGGTCCACACGGTCCAAAGCATGCTTTGGGGAGCAACACTTGGATGGACGACATTGACCACAAATAGATCCAGTGTGAAAGTGCTCCTTAAAGAGATGAAACGATCCGCTGGAGGCGGAGTGTTGACCCACGAGCCCCCTAATGAAGATGACACCGCTCGCGTGTCCGAAGCCGCAATCTGGATCGTGAAACCACGGAGCTTAGCTGAAGGATCGCGATCGGACTATTGTAGCGAATGATATCAATGGGGAAAATGATGTAGCACAGGTTTCTATGAATAATGACACTGGCGGCGTCCGACTAATCGGAACCAAAACCAAAACTACATGTACGGTCACAGAAAGCCTAGACATCCGAGGTAAGTAGCCGAAAGTTCAAGAAACAATTTATGATAAAAGATAGCAAGATGAGTGCCAGATATAGTAGTAGGAAATAAGTCCCAGTAAAGCCATGCAATTGAGATATTCTCATGCAACAAAGGGCCGAGCTGTCGGCGTCTCAGGTCGGGCTGTGAGCGGTGTAGTGGGCCGCGAGAACTCGGAAGCAGCTGTCTCAAAGGATGTCGTCGAACTTGAGCGCGAGTCACCCTGTCGTTGATATGAAGATAGTAGTAGCGAGCGTGGTGATGATGGCACTTGAGAATTTTTATGAGCTCCGGATGGGGAATATGGAGGTGATCCGGATGTGACAGAACGTGAGGTTGTTTGTCCAGCCTCATCCGCAGCAGCACTATCAAAGACAGGACTTCCTGTTGTCTCTCTCTCTAGTGTGCTAGTACCAGACGGGTTGCGAATATCGGCTGATAGTGACCCACTTGCTTGGTCTGGCAAACTCGATGTAATGACGTCGAAGTCGGGCGGTGGTGCCATATTAGACCTTGATGCTGAAAATGCTACAGCGTCTGGACCGTATGGAACACCGAATCTTTCCAGTGCATTCCTGGAGGTGATAAGTTTAATTTGCTCAGGTGTCATGCCACCTTTTGGCGCCCGGAACTCCGAGCGCATAACAGTATGTGTGAGAGGTGCCGATATTGAGTTCAAAGAGATTGTCGACGGGGATGTCATAGGCGTGGAATGGTCGTGGGGTCGGAGAGCTTTCAAAAGCGTCGAATTAGAGCTCGAGCGATTGCGCCCATGTCCACTAGTTGTTGATGCCACGGAGAGGGATGAAACGTTGCGAGTATGTTCAGGAGTGACAGCCCTGTTGTGGATCGAAAGAGGCGGATATCGTGATGAGCTGCCAAAGGGTTTGAAGAGGAAGCTGAATCTAGAGCGCCGATCAGGGGCAGTATTATCGATGGAAGTCTCTGATGCAGGAGGCACATCAGGTAATGTGTGAACAGTGTCTTGACCTACAACCTCAAAGTACGGAGGCGCTTCTCCTCGTGGATCTTCGGACGTTTGTGTAGTATGCAAGGGTAGGAGTTCAGAATGACTTCCTTGCGAGTGATGCGACGTGCCCAAGCTACCAGCGTCTATGCTTCGTCTCATTGACACATCACCAGAAACGTTATATATAAGATTTGTGGCAGAGCTGTCCGCTTGTATGGTACCATGTGACTCGAGGTCAAGACCACGATGTGTCCCTCCTGTTTCAGGGTGCTCCTCGTCTTCTTCCAGTATTGGCATATGATCCTGGTCGTCCTCCGTCTTCGGAGGTGCTCTGTAATATTAATTGTGTCAAAAGAGTGTGGGTGCTGCGGGCACGCAAGGATGCACACCTGAAGAGAACAAGCTCCTGGTCGCCCGGTTCCAGCATGTAGGGTGGAAGCGATTTTGTGGATATCTGACTTGGAGTCCGTGCGGGCCTCCGGCGTCTTCCAGGGCGAGTTGAGGCAGCCTGACCAGCAGGTGTGCTCCCCACCGCGGCTGCGCCGACTTCCCTGTTGGTGGCCCGCCTGACGCATCCAACCAGTGTCAGCACGGCAACGACGACTGCAAGTATCAGTACGGGTATCTAGATATTTGGTTCTTTGGTTTAAGCATGTCTTTGGCGTTGGGGCTCGACGGTGAATAGTACGCACCCATACGCTTGCAGAAATGCTGTTCCCGTCGCTTGTATTGTCATCTGATGCGCGTCGCAGCACCTCGCTTGTTGGTCTTGCAGATACAAATTTGGGGTATCGCACGGATGAGAGAGTGAGCCAGAGGAGGGTGCGGAGACAAAACGGCGTTCGACTCGGAGCAGATGAGAACATACCGCGCTCAGGGAGGTTACTCATTGTGGTGTCGTGAAGAAATCGTTAAATTATGAAGAGCATGCAGTGCGCAGCGCTTCTGAATGGTGCTTGACGGTGCGGTTAAAGCGAAGGAGATTTAATGATAAATGAAGTGGTAGTAAGACAACTAAAACTTGCACTACTATACTCATGCCGAGGCTGTACCTAGCAGACAAGCGCCCGTGCAAGGTCCCACCAGTACTTGGTCTCCAATGATCTCACACCGCCTAATTGATGATTATGCTCAATTCATACCCTAAAAAAGGAACCCGTCTCAAGGGTAGTGGACAGGAATATCAGGCTCTCCCACCGGAACTACCGTTGGATTGTCTCATAGCCTGGTGACCTGATAACGTACATTCGTGACATAATTAGGATCGACTGTTAACGTTCAACTCGGTCAGCTCGCATCGGTCGTCTCGGCCATGCAGTATGTGCACAGTCCGCGATCATATCAGGGAAAGCCATGGTTCATTGACATTGTCAACATGCTCTTTACAGCCTGCATACTCGCTTTATCGAAGTGGGCATGTACTAGGCTTTGAGATCCGAAATCTCTTCATGGTCACAATTGTTTCGCAACAACTTGGAGCTTTTGATGGAGCAAGCTGCGGCAATAGGGAGTGCGGGGTTGAACCAATTGTTCCCCGCTATTTTGGGCTTTCTCGTATATACGCGATGCAGGACGCCGCACAGCAAGTTATCAGGGACATCCACATGGTCTATCATTGGTCCCTGACCGCAGCAACGTGAATTCGATACTCGATTTGACACGAGGCGAAATTTCTGTCACTTACTCTAATTCTTGCACGACTTATTCACGGTTTCCTCGAGTTAGCGTGGTGGAACTATTTTACCGAATGGTGTGCGATCGAGGTGTGTCAGCAGGGAGGGCAGGCGAGATGCGGCTACACGGTTACAACTTGTATTCCAGCAGAACCCATCGGTACGAAATTCAACCTGCTCAAAGCTCACCCATAAGTGTACGGACACAAGCTGATTCTGATGCAAAATGTGAAATCGGTATGGTACGGTTGAGGCTGTTTTAGGGCCCACCTTGAATTTCATACGTGCTGTATCATGCAATGCATGGCTTCAAATACATAACCATCAGTTTGTGTCGGAATGAGCCTAGTGGTCTAGTGACACATATAATATAATAATCGAGCAATCAGTAAATGAGCAACAGTCGGCATGCCGCCGAAGGCTATGATAACGCAAGCGCCCAGTGCTGCAAAGAGCTGCCCTTGTCATCCTAACACTAATTGAGGCTCACAAGAGAAATTTCAATACAACAGTACCAGCACCAGCCTTATTGTTGGCATGTTTTGCGTCCATCGAATTGTAAATGCAAACCAGTCTTTTGCATTGGCAAATGACTATTTCTTAGGCTGCTATCAATGCATGTTGAAGCTCCTAGAAAACCAGCCTTAGGTTGTTGCACCAAAACATTATCTTTATGTGATAGCCTGTCAATGAAAAGAAATTCACCTTCATACCTCATGAGGGTCATATCACTGGCGGAAACATAGGGAATCACCAGCTCAAAATGATATATCAAAGTCGTAGTGGTTACTGTCATCTGGGGGAAGAAGGATCAAACGCCCCATTACTATAACCCCGAACGGCTCACGCCCAACTATCACACAGATAAAGTCTAGGCGGCTGACCTTGTATGATCGTATAATATACACATGGGAGAAAATATTAGTTAGCATCATATTGGGATCTGACGCGGTTCGATTGCTATTCCAAAGATGGAATGAAGTTTTTGATGAACCGAGAAACACTGTCAACGTTTTCGATTCGCTTTGTATATCGGAAGGTCTGGCTTTGCCAGACCAGCGCAGACAAGGAGAACCCCGCCCTCGAAGAATTTGATGACGCACTTGTAAATGCACTCTAAACATAATGCGGCAAGTTGATAATGTGAAATGTGACGGTCAGCGTGGTCCGATCGAGGCTGTCATTGGACTATCAAACTAAATCTGTGCGACCTCACGTGAGTGCAGGTGAGTACATGCGCGCCGAAATAGCATGCAGTGCATGGCTGTGCCAATTCGTGTCTGACTCTGCTGGAACAAGGAGATGGCGATCAAACGATACCCACGCAATCAGGCAGCAATCAACCCACGTAGAAGCTGAGATCAAAACAGCGCCGTGGCACAGATGACCCGCCCTTGTCATTCCAGAAGACTGTCGTACGTTCATAAGCGAGATTCAAATGCGACAAAGAATGTCAACTGTGTATGTTTGTTTCAGGTATTTCTTGTTTTCTGCTCTGGTCATAGGTCTAGGCGAAGTCAAATATCGCAAAGGATATCATAGGTATGCTCTACTCCGTGGTCCATACTTCTTCTCCAGGAAAGCTGATATTTCTTGTGCTAGAAAAAAATTATGACGTGAACATTGTAGAAAACAAGATTTTACTTACCAAGCTCCTCGGGCGATTCCTGTGCAATCTGAGTGACAGCCGCTTCAATCAGACTTGTACACGGATACAAAACATCAGCTTACCAGATGCCCAGCTGAGTGAATTACCACGTTAGATGAGTTAGCAGGTCTTCGCCACACTCGCTGCCTCGTTATTTGTTCGCCCATAAATCTGAAAAGAAGCGTTAGTAGAACAGAGTTTGTGGCTAAGGGTAACGCACCCCTTGTCTTTGGGCTTCCCTGGAATAATCCAACGTAGTTCTATCCGCTCGTCCACCTTTTCCAGTAGTTCCCATGCTTCATGTGCTCCTATACGATCCGCGAACACCAAGGTCTCATGTAGAGCTGACATCTTTAGCTTGACACCCCCTTGTGGATCCTCGCACAAGCCATATGTAACATATAGCTGCAGAGTATCAGGATGCCAAGCCCCGAAGAACACAGTAGTCTTGAACAAGCGTAATGCCTCCTCACTTGTGACATTACTTAAAAACTTAGAAGTCACTGACACGAAATCACAACTCACCGTGATGACCAACGTTCGCGTCTGCTAAGGGCACCCAGCATGAGCCCAAGTAAATGGGGGGAATAACCGCGATCGTCAATAGCTATAGGGTCTACAAGAATGATGGAGGAAAATAATGCAGGGAAATTGACAGCCGCCAGTATCCTGCATTAATATTGTCAATGTTGGATCAAAGAATTAGCGATAACAACATACGAAGAACATCCACCAAATGAATGTCCAACAGCCACCAGGGAGCGGGATGAAAATCCCTTGGTCTGCCTGGATTCACTGAGAGTCTCCGGTAGAAGGTGTAGATGCGTCGGTAAAACCTTCGAAGATGCATCTTCCGGTAGATAGTATAACAGAAAGTGTGCAATATCCCGAGCGTTGTCTCGCCAATCAACTAGAAACGAAGGTCAACCTCAGCCTTTGGATGAATTACGTGGGGTGTCTCACATATGCCACTGAGATTTGACTCGTTGATTAGTGCAGTATCGCCGTGCTGAACAGCTTCCCAAGACCACACCTCGTCGATCAGAGAAGCTGTGGGTGACGATAGTAAGTATCGCAGAGTTGTTTCCCATATCTATAATACATTCAATGGCTGTTCTTGAGACACGAGGATCGGGTCAAATGAATGAATACCTCCTTAGGAAAACCATTTGCATGAGCGAAGAACAATGTCAAACCCCTCCCATCTTGAACTCTCTTGACATATCGGTTAACGCAGTTCCATAACGGCTTCTCGCTTCTTTCTCCACCTAACTCTCCCTTCACGAAGCATGCTTGTCGCTCAGTAATTTCAGTGAGTAGCTGCTGGATATCTCGTTTCCGTTCTGCGGCATTCGTCGAGAATTTAGGGATCACAGGCAATGGGATGTCCGGAGTAAGTCTTGGACAACCAGCAGGTACGAGGTGGGTACTGACAACATAAGTGTCATTGAACAGCTCGTTTCGAGGCGACGGTAATGTAGGTAGCTCTTCGCTATCACGACGCGTGCGAAAAGGCAAGAACGGTTTAGGGTTTACAGTTGTCCATGGAGGAGTTGGTTCAAAAGGGTATGTCGAAGTCATACTGACGGTCATTTGAGGAGTCGTTCGAAGGCTTCGGCCTGATCAAGAACCGTTGACCGTGGCCGGCATTCGGATAAGCGTGGAAACACGGGATAATTGGTGCAACCGCCGACGCCGCAGCCTACCTTAATGACACAGTCAGGAATGGTGAAACAACTAGTAGGTGTTTTTGATTTTGAAAGCTTGCTAAGTAGTAAGCTCACAGGAAGTCGTGTCACATCTCAATTGATTATTGTCATGATCTCTAGCGTGGTGCAGGTCTCGCCATGAGAACGCCTACTATCATATGGCAACCAAAGAACTCGCTAATGATTTAGCCTGCGACAAGGTTCTATCCAAGGACCATCATGTGTCCCTGCCAGGGATGCAGTCACTAGTACGGAGATTCAATTACAGCTGCAATATTCGTTCATCTTGTCAGGCTGCTAAAGACGAACACCAGCGCCAGCGGAGTCCATTCATTCATATTCCTGGCGTCCGATCTCCAAATCTATTGCAAACAGAGGTAGCAAGCTCTTCCACGTACACTTGCTTATTGAACTTACATATCGGTTACAGCAGAAGCTCGAGGCAGTGCGGTTACCCATGACAGTCGATCGTAATGACTTTCCTTTTTCAGACTGTCGATGTCGCTGCTAACGTTGACGATGAGTTCAAAAAAATTACGAACCCGGGTACTTACGTTGGTCGTTGACCAACGATATAAATGGCGGCGCTGCGGGAGACAGGTCGCATTCTTTCCTTTCCTTTTTTTCTCTAGAGTCTAGAATACTCTCGTTCGTTCTTTTACCCTTTTTTCTACGGTGTTGCGCTGGGTGCATCAGAATCTTGTTCAGTTTTATTTTAATAGCATTCAGATTTCAGTCGTGCATTTATAATGTCTGGTGTTCGAAATTCTTCTGTGAGTCCTATAATGTTGCTTCTACTGTCGCGTCCGAGACTCATCAAAGTAGGCTGGGTATGACGTACAGGAAGACATACCTTTTGCACGCGTTCCAGATCTCGAACGAGCTCAGCATATACGACTTGCTCTCGAGAGCTTGGATCCTCTCCGGGGCCATGAAAAGAGCCACAGCCAGAGTCTCACACCCAGTTCCGCCTTTTTTTCTTCCACATCTTCAAAAAAAGTCCTTCGACACAAGAGAAAATATCTGCCTCCTGCTCTG